CACACACACTCTCTCTCTCTCTCGCTCTCTCTCACACACACACACACACTCTCTCTCTCTCTCGCTCTCTCTCACACACACACACACACTCTCTCTCTCTCTCGCTCTCTCTCACACACACACACACACTCTCTCTCTCTCTCGCTCTCTCTCACACACACACACACACTCTCTCTCTCTCTCGCTCTCTCTCACACACACACACACACTCTCTCTCTCTCTCGCTCTCTCTCACACACACACACACACTCTCTCTCTCTCTCGCTCTCTCTCACACACACACACACACTCTCTCTCTCTCTCGCTCTCTCTCACACACACACACACACTCTCTCTCTCTCTCGCTCTCTCTCACACACACACACACACTCTCTCTCTCTCTCGCTCTCTCTCACACACACACACACACTCTCTCTCTCTCTCGCTCTCTCTCACACACACACACACACTCTCTCTCTCTCTCGCTCTCTCTCACACACACACACACACTCTCTCTCTCTCTCGCTCTCTCTCACACACACACACACACTCTCTCTCTCTCTCGCTCTCTCTCACACACACACACACACTCTCTCTCTCTCTCGCTCTCTCTCACACACACACACACACTCTCTCTCTCTCTCGCTCTCTCTCACACACACACACACACTCTCTCTCTCTCTCGCTCTCTCTCACACACACACACACACTCTCTCTCTCTCTCGCTCTCTCTCACACACACACACACACTCTCTCTCTCTCTCGCTCTCTCTCACACACACACACACACTCTCTCTCTCTCTCGCTCTCTCTCACACACACACACACACTCTCTCTCTCTCTCGCTCTCTCTCACACACACACACACACTCTCTCTCTCTCTCGCTCTCTCTCACACACACACACACACTCTCTCTCTCTCTCGCTCTCTCTCACACACACACACACACTCTCTCTCTCTCTCGCTCTCTCTCACACACACACACACACTCTCTCTCTCTCTCGCTCTCTCTCACACACACACACACACTCTCTCTCTCTCTCGCTCTCTCTCACACACACACACACACTCTCTCTCTCTCTCGCTCTCTCTCACACACACACACACACTCTCTCTCTCTCTCGCTCTCTCTCACACACACACACACACTCTCTCTCTCTCTCGCTCTCTCTCACACACACACACACACTCTCTCTCTCTCTCGCTCTCTCTCACACACACACACACACTCTCTCTCTCTCTCGCTCTCTCTCACACACACACACACACTCTCTCTCTCTCTCGCTCTCTCTCACACACACACACACACTCTCTCTCTCTCTCTCTCTCTCTTCAGTCCGGTCGTTGCGCGTCTCCTGAGCAGACATCAGACCGTCGCCTCGGTTCTCCGGTGTTTATTCGTGAGAAGCGGCTCATGATGCGAGGTTTATCCGTTCTTCAGCTGCTGCTCGTGACGCTGAGCGCGAGAGAAGCGCGAGAGATCGGTGGCGGGAGTTTCCTGGAAGACGAGCAGCAGTGGCTCTCAGCGGTCCACCGCTACAGCCGCACCGTCAAACACTGGAACCGCTTCAGAGACGTGAGTTATCGGTTTAAAACTACAACCGGAAATGTTGTGTGTGTGTGTGTGTGTGTGTGTGTGTGTGTGTGTGTGTGGAACAAATGCCAAAACGTGCGTATTTATTCAACCCGATCTCATGAAAGTGCGTATAAATAGTACGCCAAATATGAAAACTCCTGGTATTGATACGCGATGGGTAGGTTTAGGGTTGTGGGGTAGATGCGTATCATATGCACGCCAACGAATTTCGTATCATATGCACGCGAAACACATGCGTATCATATGCACGCCAAAGTAAATTTTTGCGTATCAATACCACGAGTTTTCGTTTTTATTTGGCGTACTATTTATACGCACTTTCATGAGACCAGGCTCATTTATTATGTATTTTAGGCTGCCAGCCAGAACAATGCCAAACTGAAAACAATAAATCAGTTTATCATAATTAATTTTTGGGGACTATTTTATTTTTATTTATTTGGAATTTATCTATGTCGAAAAATAATTTATATAGAATTTACATAGAGTTTATCTATGTTCACAAAGTCTTTTGTATCGTTATTATTTCTGTTACAACCCTTAAAATGATCACCGAAGTACTGGAATACACGATATAAATACTGTCAGCAATCAAATGTAGCGATCAAAATAGAATAAAGTGACGACGCTTCTAATAACGATTGTAACACAAGTGACTTAAAAAGAGATTCATTCAAAAAACGGAATGAAACAAGTGAGGTGTTATGAGCGAGTCATTGAATCATTTGTTCAACTTATTTTTTTTAACATTTCGTTGAATATTGAATATATTTTATAAATAGACTGCAGCAATTTTTACTAGAACCTCTGTTTAGTTGTCTAATGTTTGTCTAATAATGGTGAGAGGAGAGTGATATTTAAAAAATTCAAGTATAATATTAAATATTATTAATATTAAAATATTATCCACATGTAATGTTAACAAATAAATTACTTTAATCTCAGATAAAGCATCAAAGATGTGGTCCGTGAGGTTCAGTATCGAGAACTTTGCATTATTTTGTGCTAAGTATTCTGCAAATACATTTACATATTTATGTGCTTAATAAAAATTCCCTCTATTTGTACTTTTAGTGTACTAAACTGGTATACCATACTAAAGTCTGCCTAAATGCTGATGTAGCATAAAACTATTAATTTTAGTTTTTAATGTTTATTAAAAGGTAAACATTTTTAATATGAACTCGTTATTGTCTATAACATGCAAATAATTATCCAGTAGTCATTTGCGACCAGAATTTAAATGTCAGTGCATCTCTAACGTTAACCAATAGAATTACATTCAGGGTTGTTATCGTTAACTAAAACTAAAACCATTAAAAAAAGTTTGTTACGTGAAAAAAAAAATACACAAAAACTTATTTCAGCTCATTTTTAATTTTCGTTTCAGCTGAAGTACTAAAATATTTAAAACTAATTAATAAAAATGTATAATTACTCTGAAAATGACAATAACACTGTATGAAGATCACCTCAACATCATTCAAGATGATAACCTCAATTCAGTATGTGAAAAATGGCAGGAAATAGATACAGATAATGCATGTTAATAAACATACTGAATTTATGAGCTGTTATTCTGAAAATGATTTTTTCGCCCAGAGCAGCGAGGAAACATTGCCTGCTCATCTCCATCACGCTGTTTAGGAAGAGAGCTGGTGAGAAATGACAGCTGAAGTCTCGTCTGCTCCCCGAGGCTCTGCTGTCTGGATGAGTTAGTGCTACAGAGACAGACATTGTGCGTTTTGTGTTTATTTATTTGAGAGAAAGACCGCTTGGGAACCGTCCGTCAGCGCAGGACTGACTCAGGTGACAGAGATAGTGTGTGTGTGTGTGTTTAGAGCAAGAGTTTTGGTTTAGGCTGCGTAGTTGGCCTCAGTTAACCTCATCAGGTTAGTAGTAGGGCTGTCAGAATGGCTGAAAAACTAAATTGGAATTTTGTACTTGAATATTACTAAAATTCTAATTATATTCGAATTTAAAGGGATAGTTCACCCAAAAATGAAAATGTGTTGTTTATCTGCTTACCCCCGGGGCATCCGAGATGTAGGTGACTTTGTTTCTTCAGTAGAACACATTTGATGATTTTTAACTGCAGCCGTTGCAGTCTGTCAGTCGTGTAATGCATGGCAATGGTAACAAAATCTATGAGAGTAAAAAAAACATGCACAGACAAATCCAAATTAAACCCTGCGGCTCGTGACGACACATTGATGTCCTAAGACACGGAACGATCGGTTTGTGCCAGAAACCCAACAGTATTTATATCATCTTTTACCTCTAATACACCACTGTGTCCAACTGTCTCTGAGCGTGCGCACGGCATCCGGTGCGTGAGGTGTGTAGCGCTCTGCCGTAGTTTACGCAAGCACCGGAAGTGATCTCTCGCGCGTATACGTCACGCAGTGGTTACACAGTGCACAGTCATTGTAGGTACGACGGCTAATCATACGGCTGTGTGAGAACAACTGTGTGAACGGCTTGATTTTAGTTTTGACGTAAACAAGATCTCCACATTGAACCCAGCGTTGTGGCTTCAACTGGATAGGCTAAAAAACATTATAATGCAACGACATTTACGTCGTCATCGTGTCTCGTGCGCCGCTGATAAGGCTGTCTGACGCACACCTAAAATTCGAATGCAACGTTTTTGCATTCGAATGTGGATTTTTATTTTAAATTCGACGAATATTCGAAATAAATTTTTTTTTTTACAGCCGTATTTAGTAGCGATGCGATTGGTTAACTGAAGGACTACGTTATGGCTCTGGCATCGACACAGCACACTATGGGTTTTATTGTCTTGTTTGGGTCCATGCTTGTCAAAAATCGAACTAATTTCTGACTCATCATTCTGTTTGTTTCTTTAGTATAGTTGCTAAACACCATTTAAATCTTATAGAGCCAGTATATGAAACAAACCTGAAATTGTACTCACCCTCAGGCCATTCAAGATGAGGATGAGTTTGTTTCTTCATCAGATTTGGAGAAATGTAGCACTGCATCAGTGTCTCAGCAATGGATGCTCTGCAGTGAATGGGTGCCGTCAGAATGAGAGTCCAAACAGCTGATAAACACATCACAATAATCCACAGCACTCCAGTCCATCAGTTAACATCTGGAGAAGACAAAAGCTGAAACTAATCTCTGATGGCCTGAGGGTGAGCACAATTTCAGCAAATGTTCATTTTTGGGTTAACCACTCGTTTGCATGTTTATGATCTTCATCGAGCATATTTACCTTTGAACTAACTTGTGATCAAATACCAAAACACAAAGTTAAAGTGACAAAGATACAAGACGGCTCATTTGTTTTGCTTCCTAAAATACTATCCGTCACTTTGGAGTGACAACACAATGTTGGCGCATGATGAATGATTTGTGAATAAGTCTTTCTCAACAACTTTAACGCTGGTCAGAGGTGAAAACTGGAGTGTTATAATGTAAATTATGAGCTGATGCATTGTGATACAGTCGTCACACTTGCCATATGCCAGTCTAGAGGTGTGTGTGTGTGATTAATGCTTCTGTGTGACATGTTTATTCACACTCCTAACACTGTAAACGCAGTCTATTAGCCTCATGCTACTCTTCTTTACAGTAGTAATCATGTGCTTCACTCCGGTGCTTCTTGTCTCATTGTATTTGTTAGTACAGGCTGCACTACAATATGCACTTCCAAAAGACTAGTCACAGCTCAGGATGAGTTATTGAACACATGGGCATGTTGTGTTTTACTTTATGAAATGTTACTTTCAGGGTTCAAAATGAAGTTTTGCCACACTGCCATTAGTGGGAGAATTAAGTATTTCTTACCAGCCATACAACTGTATTTTGCATGTTCTTTATTCATGCATTTATCTCACAGTTAAGTGATTGAGCTGTTTTTTTTCCCCGTGGAACACTCTGCAGATGTAAAAGATCTGTCACAAAACATGTTATATCTTACATTGTTGTTTTGTTATGTGAAGATGTTTTGTGATACGTTGTTTTGTTACATTGCGCTGTTTTATGTAACGTTTTGTTTTGCAGTGCTGTTTCATGTTACATTATATTTGTTCTTTTATGCTGTTCTTTTGTTTTGTTATGCTGTTTTGTTACATTGTTTTATATTACATTGTTTTGTTATATTTAATGTTGTTTAATGTTATGCCATTTTGTTACGCTGTTTTATGTTGTTGTTTTATGTTTTGTTCCTTTATATTTTGATATGTTGTTTTTTAATGTTATGTAGTTTTGTTAAATTTTTTGTTTGTTTAACATTGTTATTAATATATTTTTATTTTAAAGGTCACCACATGGATGTCTGAAGAATAAAAACTTCAGGCATTCTAGATAAGCTTCTTTTTATTTTAATTTCAAGTAGATTTAGTTGATTTGAACAACACATGTCTCTTACATGAGTGACAGTCAGATGTTATTCACCATGTAATATTGCAGGTTTTTGTGAGTAATTGTTTTATTTACTCTACAAGCCAAAGCCAGTTTGATTTGCTCCTGTTACGTTATCTCCTGTTTTTGCTCAATGTGATGCAAATCTCAAACTTCAGAACAGATTCCAGCACAATTAGCTGCAGCTGCTGAAGGGAAGCGTGACTCAAACGTTACGGCGCGGACGGAGTAATATCTGCGCACTGAAGCAGTGATTGATTAATAGCTCTGCAGCGCGGCATCATTGTTATTAATAACAGCACTGCTCCTGAGACAGTCGTTAGGAAAGCAGCGTCTCATCACGATCAATTATGCCAAGAAGAGTCGTGTTATCTTGCAGTCATGTTTCAGACAGATTTCTTGACTGATAATGTCTTGCACAGATGGTTGTTTCGCAGAAAAATATGGGGAATATGCTGAGAATGATTAGTTGCAACTGCTGTTAGTAAATTAGATGAAGCGTATTTTGTTGATTCGTGGTGTAAAATAAATACTAGAGAGCTGATTTAGACTATTTTGTTTGTAAATGAGCTTTAGAATGACAATAT